TAATTTAGCTGCTTTTCTGTTTGCACTAGCTACCTTTCTCACCCACACAAATGCTGATTTCAACAAAAATACTTTGGCTGTCCAGTTGTCTTCATAAAGACAAAGAAAAATGATTTCAGAGTAAAGATAATAGATTTTGATCATTGTCGTAATGTTTAATGACAAAAAAATAAGGTTTCTAAGTATCATTTTTCTGTAGCTAATGTGTGTATAAAACACATATTATACCTAGCATATAATATATATAACACGTATGTGATTATATGTATGCACACATGTTTATATACATATACACACACATATATATGTACAGTATCCATTCACCTCATAACAGTTGAAGAAGCAGGAAACCCGTGTAAGTAATTTACACATAAGTAAAAGCCTCAGCACCGTGACACCTGTTAGAGGTGGTTGTAGGAGACAGCAGCTTCCTCTGTCTGTCTGTTTCCCAGACAGACAAGAGTCACATTCCATTGCATCAGCAATTATGCTGTGGCTTCTCAGTCTTATCTCTGAGAGCCTTACATCAAATGAGGAACATTTTCTTTTCATGAATTGTATCAAACTCCCACTCCCTTACATGTCACTAAAATGTCATTTAAATGCCTAATATACACCAAACACTATGAAAGAAAATTAATTTTCTACTTATAATGTTTTCCTTATAAAAACCTTGAAAAGTGAATGTTAATATTTTCATTTGCAGATAACAAATCCAAAGTTCAGTGGAGTTGTGAAGGTTTCCCCAAATTGCACAGTTAACAAATACTTGAGTAAATATTCACATATGTATTCTTTCATGTATCACTCAGCAAACACTTGCTGAATTCCTTGTATGTTCTAAGCTCTATTGCAGTTACTAGAGATTCCATTGTTAAATAATGATGGCAAGTTCCTAGTCTTAAAGACTGTACTTTCTAGTAGTGGGAGATAGACAATAATAATAATAATGATTTTATTTTATTTTTTTATTTTAAGTTATTTGTATTCATTTGGAAAACAGATAAATTTAGATGGTTCAAAATCTAAAAGATACATAAATATATAATGTCAAAGTCACTTATCTATGTCTGTCTCTTGACACTTAATACTTGTTCCATAGAAATCAGTGTTCCCAATATAGTTTGTATATTTGTAGAGATAGTCTATGCAAATAAAAGCAAATACATACATATATTAATACAGTTTACTCATTTCCTATTGCTGCTATAACAGATAATCACACAGGTAAAACTGCATATTTATTACCTTACAGTTCTGTAGGTCAAAAGTCTGACATGTGCCTCATCAGGCTACAATATAGGTGTCCACAGGGTTGCATTCCTTTCCAGAAGCTCAAGGGATGAATCCATTTTATTCCAGTTTTGGCTTTCAGAGGCCACCAGAGTCACAGGTTTGGGTCCTCCTTCCATGTTCAAAGGCAGCAGCGGTGGGTCAAGTTTTTCTCATGCTGTCATTTCTCTGGTATTCTGATGACAGTGAGGATGTGTCCTCCATTTTAAGTATTTATATAATTAGATGGGGCACATCTCGATGATCCAGGATAATCTCCCCAATCTCAAGTTCCTAACCTTAATCACACCTCAAAAGTTTCTCTTACTATGTAAGGGATTCACAGGTTTCAAGGAGGATTAGGGCATCGACATCTTTGGGGACCATTACTCTACTTACCAGGTTTCATATATATTTATATAAACACACACACACACACACACACACACTCATACTCACAAGCACACACACATACGTATATGTGTATGTTTTAATTTTATGATGAAACAGCACACTATACATATGATTTGCTTTTTGTTCATTTAGTATTGGGTTTTGAATACAATAATAATGATTTTAAAAGCTTATGTAAATAGATGTACTACAAAATTTCAGATAGTGATATGTCCCGTAAACTAAAAGAAACAGACTGGGGTAGTAAATGGGGACTAATGGAAGGTAATTTATACAGGTGATCAGGAAAAATCTTGCTCAGGAAGTGATACATGAGATTAAATATAAATGATAAAAAAGAGTTAACGATGAAAAGTCTGAGAGCAGAAAGGATCAGAGCAAGAATGCACCTGATAAAGTGAAAATTAAGCTCAGCTTCTTTAAGGGCAAACTGAAGGTCTATGTAGTTGGTCTATAGAGATCATGAGGGAAAGTAATGGAAGATGATTATCTGTCTGTAAACCTTGTAATTTTTTTTAATAATACGAACCTGCCTAATAGTTCCAGAATATTCAGTCTTCAAGGATAGTCGATATCCAGCTAGGGAAAGTAGATTTTCACACTTATATGGGAATCAGGAGAGGGGAAAGATCTACTAATAAATGATAAAACTGGAACATGATTTCCAAGTTAGTCCAATCAACTGTTGAAAAGTCCTTCTTTGCATGTAGAAAAGACACATGGTGAAGTTTTCACTGCATTTAAGGGCATTTTCTTTCTCTCTCTATATATACCCTACAGACTTGGATGAGTTCAAATAATGTTGCAGATTTATAACAGTGATATTATCTCATGCATTCTTCACAACACTGTGTGCGTAATTAGTGGCAGAGTATGGATGTTAACCCAAATCTTCCAACTTTAAGAAGATAAATAGGCATTTAAAAGATATATATTTCTTTAATCCGAAGAAATGGACAAAAGCATTAAAAACAGGTTCTGCTATCCCTCTAAGTATCGAACTTAACTCCTCTTTTGTCATTCATGAGCCCTATTCAAGTGTAGCCTTGCTATCCAGTGACAGTCTAAAGTCATATGCTTCTCAACCACATGATCCTACAAACCTCCCTGAGTAGCACTCTATGTTTTGGAACTTTTAGAGTTGTATACATTTTTCTATTAATTCACATTCATTAATTCACTTATTCAGTAAGTATGTATTGAATGTATACTGGGTTCCAGTTACTATGGCTGGTGTTAGAGACAGAGGAGGGAAAAGTCAGACAAAGTCCTTACCTCCAAGCAGCAAGTCTAGGAAGAAAAGTAATTGTTAAACAATGATATAACATCAGATATTGACAGTAATATACAGAAAGATAAAGGTAGGTAAAAAGCCATAGAGTGTGAGTTTCTTTTTATTAGCATATTCATTGATCTTTGACAAAGGCAACAAGAACACTGCCTCTTCAATAAATGGTGCTGGGATAATTGGACATCCATATGCAGAAGACTGAAACTGGACCTGCACTTCTCCCTGCATACCAAATCAACTCAAAATGGATTAAAGACTTAAGATCCAAAACCATAAAATTACTCAAAGAAAACATAGGGGAAACACTTCAGGAAGTAGGACTGGGCAAAGACTTTATGAATAAGACCCCAAAAGCACAAGCAACAAAAGGAAAAATAAACAAATGGGATTATGCCAAGCGAGAGTGTGAGCTTCTATTTTACGTATGATGGCAGGTGAAGACTTCTCTGAGCAAATAACGGTTGAACAGTGAGTGAATTAAACCAAAAGGAGAGCAGGACATGCAGGTAGATGGAGGAAGCATCTTTTAGAGAAAAGGTACAGACCCTGTATGTACATTGGAGAGGGTGGTGGCTAATAGGGAAAGTGGAAGGAGAACGAGTCAGGAGCCATATTATGTACATATAAAGCCTTCCCGGCTGTCAGAAGATCTTTAGATTTCATGGTACATTTGATGAGAAGATTTCAGGGGTGAGAAGGGGAAGGAGTTTAACATCTCACCAAAATGATATGGCAATTATAAAACTAACCCTGTAGCCACTATGTGAGAAATGTACTAAGAAATTTAAAAATAGAGTAGCAGCAAAGAGAGCCTTTGGGACCAACATGTTCCTCTTTGAGTCTTATGATCCAAGTAACTTCTGTAGATGATAATTTCCAACCCACCTAAGCATAACATTTTCATCAAGGCTTTATTCTGAAAATAGAACAATGGTCTTTACTCTAAAGAAGTGATATTAGTGATAAAATTTGGGGCACTAAGGTTATTAACCAAAGTGGTATTTTGATCCCCCTCCCTGCAAATCACCATACATAAACATTCTGCATTCATTCTCTGTTGACCTTAATAACTTATCTGAATGATATTGATAACATGGCAATATATTTCTTATAGTAATCATACTCCAAATATCTGAAGCTTCAGAGATGTCTGAACAGAGTAACCTTGAGGATAAAGGAAAGATATAATAGGATGTTAATGACATGAAATAAAGGCCATCTAAATGACAGTAACATGCCACAAGAAAATTAGCAGGAAATAAATGAAACAGATTATTCATGATAAACAACTTTAGAACACAGCAAGGAAGTTCCAGACCACAAGCTTTCTATTTCCTGCATTAAAGCATCTACGTATGAAATGGTACCTTAAAAGAACTAGTCCCCAGGGAAGAAGTGAATGACACACTTCTGAAGGCCAGCTCATTGCTTCCTAAGTTAAACTCTTCCAGGCTAGAGAGAGATCCATGAGAATAAAGATCTTAAAATTTCTATTCAGCAATAAATCCTCTGGCTACAAACACTGTTAGGTATGTAGTGGATGTTTAATAAATATTACTCTTTAAATGTAAGAATAGATGAATGAATGGGATTCCAGGAAAATATTACACTATCCTTCTCCAAATTATCTTGATATCAAAGATAGGAATCTTTAATTTTTAGTTCTTTATTTAGATTCTGCTGTCTGCTAAATTATTTGTGTTTACTAAAAATTTAAGGAAGGCTGTCTTAGATTCTGGGAAAATCCCTCTTGTCTCTTCTACAGTTGTGAGAAAGCACATGTCTTGTAGCAGGGAAAACCCATACCTCACCACAACACCACACTGGAGCATAAATTAAAAGGAGCTGGCATCGTCGAGCAGGTAGGAGGTAAGAGGAAGGGGGTGGAGACACCAAGACAGAATATAAGCGCAGGGATGCCTCTGAGACTCAAAGACCCAGAGCCTGAAAGGAGAGGTCCAGCAAAAACTCTCGCTGTAGATTGACTTGATCTGAGATTAACCGAGGAATCTAGAGAATAAAGATGACTTCTGAAGATTGTTCCGTAACAGAGAAAAGCTCTTTGAATACAGAGACAGGACAAGAAAGTAAGTCAAATCTATTTCTTGTGTACTGGCAATATCATTATGCTTAGCACATACTGGTAGTTGGAGGAGAAAATGAGGCTTTGTCGTTTAGAGAACTTGCTCAGGTGGTTGTATTTCAGTCGGCACAAAGGAGAAACTGGCAAGAGGAAAATACCTCTTTATCTATGAAAAGATAGTAAATCTGAGACAGGAGAGGTGAATTTCAGAAGATATTTAAAAATCTTTTTCTTTGTTTCAGTTTACATCATCTCAATGTTCAGATTTTTCTTTTTTCTTTTTTTTTTAAAAGATGACCGGTAAGGGGATCTTAACCCTTGACTTGCTGTTGTCAGCACCATGCTCACCCAGTGAGCGAACCAGCCATCCCTATATGGGATCCGAGCCCGTGGCCTTGTTGTTATCAGCACCGCACTCTACCGAGTGAGCCACGGGCCGGCCCCTCAATGTTCAGATTTAATTAGCAAACTCCCTGCCCTAGCCAAGTCACTCTCCACCTCTCTTCCATGTCTACTTGTCCATACTCCAGGATATGTTGCCTCCCTTTACAGAAAATTCTGTTTCCACATAGACAATTACATTCTGGCTTCCTTTCCTTGTATCTTTGTCTGCATTCTGTGTGTCTCATCCAGAGTTCTCACGTAAGCACTCTTTCGTTGCTGGAAACATGCAGGTTTCCAATCTTTAAGAGAATGGCCATATAAGCATCTGTATATTGATGGTGTCCAGTGGTAATTTATTAGGAGAATGTCACAAAATAATTCTTGAAAATGCACTTCCGCTTCAGTAATCTTTATGGGACTCTTTTCCTCCATTTCATCCTTCTATTTTACTCTTCCAATTTCTGGCTTCAAATTCTGTATGAGTCAGACATTTATCTTCCCTTCTTTTGTTTTTCATCAAAATATGATAGGCTTATAAATTTTCCTTGTTTCTATTTGTTTGTTCTATCCACATATCTATTCCATTTCCTGTTATTTTTCCCACTGTTTTTCCATACCTTGTTTCTACAGGCTTTCTTGGATTTTTAAAAATGTATCCTTCTTTCTCCCTAATTAATGAAGTGCCCTAAAATGCTAGCACTTAGGAACTAGAGTTTACTTGTATGCAAGAGTTATCAAGTAATAAAGGGATGTGTTAGAAACAGCAAAGCTAAACAACCTCTGAGGGAGAAATTGTTTTCTAAGTATGTGTCAACTAGATTGGGTAACTTTAGAAAAGTATCAATACCTCTGGCAAATCTATCCTTTGTTTAAGAACAGAAAATCAAGTGTGGATAACAAGTACAAGATACTAAAATTTTTAGTTAACCAGGTGAGCCATAACTTTATGGTCCAGTTGAACTGCCAAAAAGAATAAATATGATAATAATAAAACTACTTAATAAATAAAGAGCATAGTTGAAAGAAAGATCTAATGTAGAAATTCTTAACTTTTCCTGAGATCACTCCAATTTTCTGCTGAATGTTAAGTCTATGCTGCCCTTAACAGCTGCTCGATTAGTACAAAAAATCATTGGGCATCAACTCTTGGGTGAGTCAATAGGCAATAAATAGGTGGATTTATTGTCAATTTCGCCATTCATGGACAGGACCTGTAATCAGAGCTAAAGTGTGCTGTTGGGGGAATGTTGTGTCACCTAGGAGATAAATCAAACTGTGAGTAATGATAGCCCTCACTAATGGAGAGTCATCTGAAAGTCATCTCCATAGTTTACACACTTGGCCAAGCCAATGGGCCGAGCTAGACGACGGAGCCCATGAGTTATGTGAATATATTAGGACTTGATGAAGAGCCAGAGCTATTGCTGCACTGAATCCAAGCAGTGTAATTGACTCTCACATGGTGAGAAGTGAAACTCAACAGAGCTCTGTACCACCCTACCAAAGGCTGCTTCTAGTGACAACTGTATGTGGGTGAGAAAAGGAAAACTTGCTTTGAGAAGCTGAGAGGAATAGAGCTAGATAGGAATGAAGTAAAGGTTTCTCTTGCAAAATCCAAATGCAGACTTATGCTGGGAAAAGAACCCCCTGAAGAAGCAAAAGCTGATGTTGGCACTTGGTGCGTGGTAAATTACTATGAAAAAAAGCACCATCTCTTCACCCAGTTTAACATTAGAGAAATGTTTTAAGAAAAAACAAAACAAGACATGAATTTCAAGATATGTCCTATATAGACATCCTTTTAGTTACAAAAATCATCCATGCTTAAAAACAGGATTTTTTGCATTTTGAGACTTTTTCATTGTCAGTTATAATATCATTCAAGTAGTCATTTTACAATTCAGGTTTTGAGAACATAATAGGGAACTGTATATTTGTTATAGGGCCACATTTTTAAAATCCTGATAGCTTATCCTACAAAAATAAAATACCAGATTCACAAAATTTCCTTCTTTCTTTTCTCAGTTATTTATTTATGTTCCAGAACAGATATCGTTCTTGTTATTTTCTGTTTGTTTTCAGGTTTTGTTGCTTTTTATTTTTGGTAACTAAGAATCATCATTCACATCATATTCCTATTCTAAATCCTTCCACAAATATTCTTCTTGTTATTTTCTGTTTGTTTTCAGGTTTTGTTGCTTTTTACTTTTGGTAACTAAGAATCATCATTCACATCATATTCCTATTCTAAATCCTTCCACAAATATTTATTTATCAAAGAAAACTTCAACTTTGTGTCACCATCATACAGAAGGGTAAATGAAACAATCCACTTCCACCCAATATTTGGTCTGTGATACTGTTACATTTCTTCTTATTTTAACTTCTCTTGGAAAATTCAAATTTTACTGTTCATTCATATATTATTTTTAATTGAGGTATAATTTACATATGATGTATGCACATATCACTATTGTACAGTTTAATGAGTTAAAGGCAGTAGTATCAACACAACTCCAATCAACATTTGAATATTTCCATCACCCTGGAACGTTTTCCTATATCCCACCTCAGGAAATGACCCTTCCCACACCCACAAAGGCTACTGCAGTTCTGATTCCTGTAACTATAGCTTAGTTCAGCTATCCTTGAACGTCATACACATGGAAATATGTGAGGGTGCTACCGAAAGTTCATGGAAAAATTAGAATTGAAAGACAATTCTAAACCTTCCATGAGCTTTTTGAAGTACCCTTGTATATTATACAATTTTGGGGAGCAGGATTTTTTTTCACTAAGCAGTATTATTACTGTTGAGATTCATCCATTTGTTGTATATATTAGTTTTTGTTTATGTGGGGTTTTTTTTTTTTAGTTGCTTAGCAGAATTCCTTTGTATGGATATACCATAATTTGTTTATCCATTCCCCTATTGATGGATATTTATGTTATATCTAGGATTAGGATTTCTCTATGAAGAATAAAGCTGCTATGAGCATTCTCAAACAAGGCATTTTGAGAACAAATTTTTATTTCTCTTGGGGATGACATAGGAGTAGAGCTACTGCTGGATCATAGGTTAGATGTTCATTTGTGTGTTTCAGGTTTTTTGTTTGTTTGTTTGTTTGTTTTGACAGTTGGCTAGTATGGAGATCCAAACACATGACCTTGGTGTTATGACACCATGCTCTATGGTTAGAGCTAAACAGCCAGCCTTATATTTAATTTTATAAGTAGTTTCCAAAGTATTTTTCCAATTTGTTCTCCTATCAATAATATAGAATTCCAGTTTCTCCACATCTGCACAAACCTCACCAAAACGTACTGCCAGTTTTTTATTTTTCTTTTTAGTCATTCTAGTTTTAGATAGTTATATTTCAACTCAATATTTTACTTTATTACATTATCCATGTTTATCTTATTCACATCATTTATCTTAAACAGTAACTACAAGGAGGTTAAAGGAGTGTGCCTGGTCTGTTCTTTTCACATGTCTTCTAGGGTCACTGAGTGTTTAAAAATGTTCTGATTGTGAATAAAACAATAAAATTATGACATTCTTGGAATTTTCATAGCTATGAAGTACATATATTGGGGAGATGTTTTATCATCTAAGAATTATGTCTAAATTGTTTTATTTCTAGCCAATAAAATCCAAATTCACTCAAAAGTTGGGAAAAATTAACTTATAAAGTCCATATAAGGATATGTGGGAACACATAACTACTTTTTAAAAATTAAATACCTCAAAAGATTATCCTGTATTCCTGTCTTTCTTTCATAGTCTGCCTGAATTCATTATCAACTTTCTCCTTTTCAGATAATGCCACCAGCCCCTCTTTTGCAGAACATCATGAAGGGTCCCTTCAAGTTCCTGTGCCCTGTGCTGTAGTGACTGTGGTCTTCATCACCATTTTGATCATAGCACTCATTGCCTTATCAGGTGCGTCTATCCCTCATGAGTTCTTTCAAAGCCTCTTAGCTGTGAACATTCATGCCCAGATGAAATCAATGGGTTTTAGATTGGTCTAGTTCTCATAAATTCTTGTCAACTTAGGATCATCTCATATACCATACATGACTAATTTCTTAATCAATATTAAATATAATCCCATGGTCCTTGGATGATTAGTGCAATACTTTTATAAGTATTAAAAGTGCCTGTTATTTATACATCATTGTAGGAGAAAATTACATTTGTGAAGATGTTTATATGTAGAATAAAGGGGACTGATTTGGATTCTAAATGAACATATATTTATCTAGGAAACATGTGGGCTTCACACTTATTATCTAATCCGCTGATTATCAGCAAGTGGCTAGTCTTTTTTCTTTCATCTCAAAGGCCACAGAATGGTACTTGTAGGTAATTAAGACCATATCTAGAAGCTCCCAGAGAGTCAGAAGTGATATGGTATGTAATACATAGAGCTATGCCAAGATACATTTGTGTCTTTTACAAATATGAAATTTTATGGTTTTAGGTCTTTCTGTATTTCGAACTAGTTCTCTGAACACTACTCTTTCCCTCACCTCCCAATCTAGTGTAGTGTCTACCACATCTTCAGATTCTTCCACCTCTGCATTTAGATTCAAAACCTTACTTAGAATTTATAATGCATTTCACCCTTTCTAGTCCAAAGACTATTTCAGGATTTTTCTTTTTTCCTGCCATTTTTTGACATTATGACCAAAGAGACACCACCTTATCCTCACACTGCATACGATGATGAAAGGTCAGTGAAGGTGAGAACCTGCTTTCTTCTTACTCTTTCCAGAATTCTTCTTGATGCTTGTCCTTTACCACCTAGCACAGAACAGCATCCCCTGGACTAGTTTTGCATGCTTTGGGTATTTGGTTTCTTTCATTACTAAAACAAACCATTTTTCTATTCACAGTGGGACAATACAATTGTCCAGGCCTATATGCATTCCCAGTTTTATCAGACAACAATGTTTCTTCATGCTCAGATGATTGGGTTGGCTACCAGAGGAAATGCTACTTTATTTCCACTGAAACAAAAAGCTGGACCTTGGCCCAAAACTCTTGTATCACACGTGGTGCTACTCTTGCTGTCATCGACTCTGAAAAGGAATTGGTAAGACTCTAAAACAACTTCATAGAATATTGCTATTTTATTCTAAATAGCTAATTTATGGTTTCTTTCTGCTTCCTTCTAAAGTGAAAACTTGGTACCTCATGTAGGAAAAGTTAGTCACATATGACTAGTCCCTCAAATTGCAGCTTTTGAGAAGTGGGATTTATTATATACTTGCCCAAAAGGTTGTTTAACATAACAACTCCTTTGTGCTTTCTTTCAGATCTTTCTGAAACGCTATGTGGGTAGAGCTGAACATTGGATTGGGCTAAAAAACGAAGCTGGTCAGACATGGAAATGGTCAAATGGTAAAGAATTTAACAACTGGTAAGTCTCAAGAAGTCTCTTTATCCTCCCCAGGCTGGCATAGCAGAAAACTGCTCTTCTTCCAACGCCCTGTTTGATATAAAGGCTGAGCTCTTCGTGAGCTCTGACAATCCTTTTGTATGCGTGTACTCTTTGGAATGCTTTGCAGACAAGCTTTATTATTATTGGTTTTTATCCAATTAGTTACAATAAATGCTTATAGTAATTTTCTTCTCAGCGAACTCTAGTGTGAAAAGTAAACTCAGTTACTTTGAAAATATTGCAAGAATAATCATGATGATGCACAAAATCCAACATTCTCGGGGCCGGCCCGGTGGCACACTGGATAGTGCGCCGCTTGGGAAGCGCGGCAGCGCT